CTTGCTCCCCCTGTTTCGCGAAATACGATACATTGATAGGAGGAGATGGCTTGCCCCGAAATCTAAACACGGTATAGGGGGGAATAAGACTATTGTCTTCAAAATCACCTTTAACTGCAGTCACGCACGTATCAAGAATGCCATTAGCCAAATATTACCAGATTTGGACTGCACTGTCTTTTACAAATCTACTGTAACTTTAGCTGATCTATGTAAGTAAGATATTTGGGGGGCAACAGTTTTAGCTAAAACTGTGGGCCCCAAAACATTCCAAACATGTCACACCTTGCAAATATTTTTCGAATTCCGCCTGTTTCCTAGACGTATAACCACGAGGTTTGCAGTTCCCTTACGCAAATCCGTAGGTGTTTTGTGTTTTTAGGTATGTATACAGGTACGCTTAGTTGTATTGTAAAACTCCCTGATGAAGTCGCGCTAGTCACACGAAACGCGTAGGAGAAAATACAAGAATTACAACTCAACTAGTTCGCAGAAGTGCTGCTCACTGGTTTATCCTTTGAGAATTATACAGTGCAATAGTCTGTATTAGTAACACAGAGACTTTAAAACAAAAGTATTAAGCAAAGTATTAAGTACTAAAGCAATGAGTATTAACTTTACCTTCAAACTGGTTCCCTTGGATGAGAATTAGTCTTATCTCGTTTCTTCTCTATCGCGTCATCTGAGATTTCCTAGCAAATCACAGCCGGATTAAATCCGCCTTACTATCAACAACCCTCACTGATAAAATACTAGGACTGCTCTCTATTGGTTAATTTAAAAAGGGGTTTGACCCTAATGGTGCACGGGTATTGGGATTGGCTCATCATACTCTAAATAGCTTTCAGGCAAGAACAGTTGAGAAGATCTGTCAAGGCCTGTTACTATTGTTTATTCGAGCCAGAGTTATTTAAAGTAGAATGGTTGTCAAACCCGTTAGACTTGTTTGCTATATGTTATTGTTAGCTTTTTTCTGTTTTTTGGACCTGACCGTGCACAACGTTCAATAGCATTCCCTTTTTGATAGTGACCAATAGAAACATCGCATTAATTTATTCAGTCACTATCTGTAAACAAAAACCAAAGGATTGTGCACGGTCAGGGAGCTTCCAACATAAACTACAGCACCGTTGATTCAACTTTGATGTTTGTCGGCTTCCCTAACCAGTCTCCTCTACTAACTATGTTCGAATTTACGCTCCTTCAGCGATTCTATTTGACTGGAAAGCGAATGACTAGGTGAGGTGATTGGAATTAAAGTGTTGTTTTAAATATGTGATAATTTAGCCTCCCAGGGTTAAAATGTAAATTTTCTTCAGTTTTTTACTGTCTAGCCTGCGAGCAAGCTCTCCTGTTTGGGCGAGTGAAACAGGTCTCGCGAGAACGCGCGAGCGAGCGGCGTTCTCGCGAGGCTCGCTTCGCTTGCCCAAATAGGAGAGCTTGCTCGCTGGCTATTTACTGTCTCTCTCTATGGTCTTTGTCATATGGCCTAGCCATACAAGATAAACATCAAAAGAAGTCGTTCATGGCTGACCATGCCATAAGAAGATCAAAGATTAATTAAAGCTTTCCGTCTTTCCCTCAGAACCCTGGTGTTTCTTACTTGCGTTGATCCATAGAGAGATATTGTTCGTTTGAAAAGGACACTTGACACAGTTTGGCGAATTTGCAATCCAGATAGTAAAAGATATAGTACCTGGAGGCAACGGCAGCCAATGGTTCAGAGTATAATTGACTTTTTCTTAGTCAAAGCATATTAGGAAACGTCCCTTCTACTGAGTAGGCATTGTTCCAGGGTATAAAACGGACCATTCCATGATTACTTTAGATCTGTCCCTTTATACTAACCAGAAAGGTGCAGGCTTTTGGAAATTAAACACCTTTCTTCTTACTGAATCTAGTGAATCTAATCAAGTAATAATTACATAGTCTAATCAAGTCAGTCAATGACACTCAAAAGGAATACGAAGTGCAGATGACGTAGTTAGCGGCTGTAATGCTCTGGAAAAATACTGAAAGTAAGAGATTACATCACTATTTTATGCTAGAAAAAAAATCTAAGCAAAATAGAAACGCGAGGCTGAATTAGAATGATTTCTAGACTAGAAACGGAGAAAGACAAAGAGACAAAGACAAAGACAAAGAGATCTAACAACTTAACGATCTGAAGAGTCGAACTAGAGAAGACTATTGTGTTTCGAAAAAAAAGTGCTATCCTTTGAAGATCAAAAGTTACATGGTACAATGAGGGGGAAAAACACCAAGTATTTTCTAAATCTTGAAAATAGACTACTGTAAACAGGGAACCATAAGCCAACTAAAACTAAACGGGAACAACTTTGTCACATCAAATCGGTAGATCCTAGCCCTCCGATGTCAATCTCAGTCCTCCTTGAAGTTGTACGCTGCAAATGTAGTAAACGCACACCCGTCAATATTGACCTTTCCGACTTCACTGGACATGAAAATGATACGATCCATAAGGAAGAGGAACATAACATCTGTGAAGGCCCTTTGACAGAAACCGAACGTCTCGCTGCTCTGAAAACTATGGAGACCGAAAAAACGCCAGGCTGGGATGGGTCAGTACCAGCTGAATTTTATAAAGTTTTCTGAAATGATATAATTATACAAAAAGCTCATCGTATGATACAGGGCATCTTTCCATTAACCGGAGAAGAAGCATTATAAAACCAGTCCCCAAGAATGACTCATAATCCCACTAGGTCAAGAACTGGAGACCGTTAACCGGCTACTCAACTGTGATTATAAAATAGCTCCAAAGTCTATTGCAAATAGCCGAACAAACGGATGTTTTGTGCCTTGAGTTTGCCACGGCTTTCGACTCTGTCGATCACGCTATCCTTATTGACAAGCTGAAATGGTACGGTGTAACAGGTCAGCTAATAAAATGGGTTTTCCGACTACCTAAAAGACAGATCACAGAGAGCTGTCATTGATGGTATGGCTTCTGAACGACTACCTGTCACCTCCGGTGTACCTCAGGGTAGCATTGTTGGCCCCCTAATCTTTGTGATATTTATCAACAACCTTCCTGACGTCGTCCATGAGCAAACTAACACCCCTCTGTATGCTGATGACACCAAGTTGCACCGTACTATCGTGTCAGTAAAGGACTGTGATATTCTCCAGCAGGACCTGGCAAACTTAAACACCTGGAGCTATGTATCAAACATGAAGTTTAACGCCTCCAAGTGTAAAGTGTTAACAGTCACGCGGAAGAAATCACCTGTAACTCATGAATATCACCTTGGCAATACTTACATGAAACGTGTTTTGGAAGAAAAGGACCTCGGCGTTATCATCTCAAGCAATCTATCGTGGGACTCACATGTTTATGCGCATAGTACTCAAGGCTAACAAAATGGTTAGGTCTCCTGAACAGAACCTGTCCACTTATTACGGATGTTAAAGTAAGGCGGACACCTTATCTCTCTCTCTCGAGAAGTCACAACTCTCTCTTATGCCACAGAGGTGTGGTCTCCCGGAAGTGTCAAATTGAGGACGAAGCCAGAAAGAGTCCAGAGGCGTACAACTCACTGTATACTTAGAACTAATATCGGCGAGGTCTCCTACAGCAAACAACGATTGCTGACTCTTAGACTTCTTCCACTTACTTATAATAGGGAAAATAGACATCTTGTATTCCTTGCGTTTCTAGTTCTACTGATTTAAACTTTGTTCGATTCGCTACCTTTTTCTCGCGTGACCGGTCTCGTTCTCCGAATCCTATCCTTATGTTAAAACTTGTAAAACCACTACTTTTCAGGCCTCTTTCTTTAATCGGATTGTAAAACCCTGGAACACTATTTGCAGACTAGCTACTTCCGACAAATGCTCCAGCCTTTACATTTCTAAGAATTATCTGCGCGCTACCTACTTTTCCTTGTTAGATGCTACTTTTGATATTAACATGCCCCGCACCTGGATCCTCTCTCCCACTTGCCCGTGCCACCGTTCATAATTTACACTCTAATTATTGTCTTTTGCCCATTTTTATTAGATTTCACCGTTTAACTATTACATTTTTACTATCGTTTTAAGATAACTTTTTTTTAGATTTTTCTTAACTTCGGGTGAGGCCCCGCATGGGTCATCAGTCGCGTTCGCGCTATTCCCCATTGGTCTCTTTCATGCTAGTAGTTTGTCCGCTTCATGCTAGTATTTGTCTTGTTTCTATTTATTTGTTACTATTCGACCAATAAATTTGTTGAAAAAAGAAAATCGATATCGGGAATCAATCGATTTAATCCGCCGATTGTTATCGATTGATATCGGAAATAGATAGAAATCGAAGTCGCAGAAAAAAATTATTATCCAGTATTTAACAAATCGACCGCAATTTTCCATCATGGTCTACACTCTTATAGATCATAAAAATGACTTCATAAAGTGTTCAGAACTCAAGTGGAACCTTTCGCCTGCGGCTCGTGGATTCACTGCAAAGTTTTGAACATTTCATGGTGTCATTTCTATGGTCTGTAAGAGTGTAGACCATAGAAAATTGTGGTCGATTTGTTTTTTACATATTGTAAAAAAAAAAAAAAAATTACGAAAAACCAAAAACAAAACAACCAGCACTGCGTGACATATTTCGTCATTTCCATGGTCCATAATCTCATAGACCATAGCTCTCGACCAATCAGTGTGGGAGGATTCGCTCAGTAAATCGGTTTATCGATTACCTACTGGCTGTCTGTAAAAATGGTCGTAAATGTCTTTTCTTTTTTCTTTGAAATCCGGGAAAAGATTGTAGATTCTTCGATAATTTCTTCTGATAATTTTTTTTCGTCTGGCTTTATTGTTAGACTGCTCAGAGCCCCCTATGTTTCCGTGCGTCGAGTTCGGTGACTTCGGTCAGTTCGAAGACATTGCGTTACGGGCGGTCACAACGGGCGGTCATCTTGGATGAGTGTCAAATCTACTGAGGGGGCGGTGGACGGTTTCGACCACTATAAATTCCGACGCCCACCCCCCTCGGTAAATATGAAACCAAGATGGCCGCCCGTAACGTAGTCTGCGAGTAACGCAAAGTAAATCGATCTGAACGATGGATCTTACGAAAAAATAAGGGTTAGGCTTGTCAAACCTGTGTTGAGCTTTGTAATACCCCTGAGGGGCTCGTCAAGCAACACAAATAAAGCCGGTGTCTTGAGACCTTCGTGTACAAACATCGTCGCCTGCACCACTGGAGGCGTTCAAGTTTGTGAACAGATACTGTACTCGGTCGGCAATAACTCCAGCGCAAACAATTCCTTCGGTCCTACTATACTGACACCAGGAAAACTGTAATGAATTCATCAGAGGAGAAGACGAATACTTTTGTGTACACATCGTTTTGTGACGAAATTCATGACTCTGTATCGTGTGAAGGTCCAAAACGTGAAGGAAACTTTAAAGTTTACAGGCGAAGATGGTATATTCTTTTTGTATTTTCTTTATGCTCTGCCTTAAATGGCATGAAATGGAACACTTGGGGTCCAATTCAAGGTACCTCGCAAGTTGTATTTGGTTGGAGTGATACGACTATTACACTGATGGTGGCCTGGGGACCGATAGTTTATATCATTTCCTTTTTGCCAATATCGTGGCTTATGGATACTAAAGGTGAGAATATACTAAACTGTAGCAAACAAGGCTTGGTAGATTGATATTTTTTTTGTAATAATGAGGGTTTGAGGGACATAAATAGTACAAAAACACTTCACGTTGACCGTCCTACAAAATTAAGTGCTATCGTGAACTCGAGACACTTGATACGATTCTTGGGAATGCCACCTGGATTGGATAATCTAAAATTAGGATTAGACCATGGACTTTGATCACTTGACCGGACTCTGGCGTATACTCGTTCTAATTACAGTTTCTTGAAAATTTGGTAGTTAATTTTAGGTCAAAACAGAGATCATTTTGTCTTTTCCACTCAACACCTTTGCTACATCAGTATATGATACTGCAACATATTATACTAATGCAGCAAGAACCAATTCGAACCAGTTTTTGTTATTGTGTGCAAAAACAAATGTACAACCTTCATTATTGGTAAAGTGAGTGACAAGAAGATAATTCATCGACAGGTTTTTGCTAGGTTCAGCCGGTAATGGTTTAGAGTGCAAGTTCCGCAGCTTTACTAAAAAAAAGTGATTATGACTCTAGCCTCAAAAACAGCATGGATTTGATTACAGCCCAACCTCTCGACAAAGGCCATCTTGGGGACAGACGAAAGTGGTGGTTGTGGAGAGGTGGCCCTTATGTGGAGGTACATGTAGGGGGCAATATGACAATTTTTTTAAAAGGAGTGTAACATGTTTATTGTGCTTAGTTCTTGCATACTGTATCTCATAATGGTAATCCAATCATCTGTAATAATTAATAATTAATTATACACATACAAAATGTTAATGTGACAAAATGAGCAAGGTTTGCAACATTTGCCGTAAGTATCATAGACAATTTATGCTTACTGCAGCAGTATAAATTGAACCCAATGAAAACACAATTGCCACAATTAATCATTAATGCACCATATGGATCAAACTTCATAACCATTTTTGACTTTTTGATCAGTTGCTGAAAAAACTGGCCATTGTTAAGAGGTTATTTTGGCAGTCGGAGACATGCTTTAACTGGCCGGTGCTATTGTACTGAGGTACCCATTGCAGAGTGGTTTAAACAAGAGTCAATGAATAGACTGTCTGCCAGGACAAAAAAGGTGGCCATTGTGGAAAGGTGGCTGTTAGTGGAGGTTCGACTGTATAAACACTGCTTACAATTTTACAAGGTGTAAATGTATTTGCATACATTTTTATGGAGAAACCAAAATGGAATTAGGAGTTAAAGGCAATTTTTTTTAGCAATATACCATAAGCAAAGGCAACTGCCCCTGATGTCAACTATATTCAGCCTCATTCCAAGGGTCCACTTATAGGAGAGAAGAACCCGGAAACAACTTAGGACAAGATCTTGCATTCATCCAGTGTACAACTGACTTCTTCACAAAGCACGTACAAGATTTTTGTCCACTGAAAATCAAAATTACTCAATGTCCTGGTGGATTCCGTCTTAATTCCTCTTGATACGACTGTAAAATCCAGGAGAAAAAAAAAACTATATATGAAAAATGTCAGGGGGCAAACAAAGGAGTGTTATGGGAGATATGCCATTGGAAATTTTTCGAATTGCCATCCCAAGCCTCAGTTTCAAAGTGAGGCTAAGTGCAAAGCCATTGTCTTGGAAACAAGACATATTATCACAAGAAAGGTTTTGCACATTGCCTTGTTTTGAAAGTAAGTGTTTTGGAACCAGTTAGCCTGCGTAGCAGGCACTTGGAAGTAGTGGGTGGCCGTTCACATGCCTGTACTTTTTTGCGCCCACTACTTCCAAGCCCCTGCTAGGCAGGCTAGAACTGGGAAATGGCCAGTTTTTAGATTTAGCAAAGACAAAGTAACGAAAGAGATGATGATGGCATGAGCAGATTTAAAAACGAAATTGAACATGACAGAACAGCCAATTAAGCTTCGAAAGTCGGCTTTAGTCCTTTCTGTGCCCTTTCGTGTTCTGATTTGATGTTGTGTTGTCTGCTTAATCTACCTAATAACTTGTCCAGAACAGTTTTAAAGCAAACAATGACAATTGCAATTTTGTTTACTCAACGAGTATTGCTTATCTTTCGTTTATTACCCTTTTTCCTTTATTTGTGCATTCGATTCAGGTTTATTGACACATCGTGATTGTATTTGCTTTTCAAGTTGCTTCTCAGCATATATATATTAAACTTAGTGGTCTAATTAATTAGTCTAATTACCACTTCTTCCTCATGTAAGCTCTTTTGCCTTTCCCTCAAAGGTAGTGTTGATGAAAGTATTGACTGTAGTGAAATAATGTTTAAGTGCTGTCTACTCTACTTGGTTCTAGGAGGAAATGTTTGCTTTTGCACAATCAGCAAATTAAATACTTATGTGCTTTCCAGTCAGTTAACATTAATGGCCTAGATCAGTAAATGAGATTCTCTCTTGATGTGACTTACTTTTTATTCTTTTTAGGTTTGAGAGCATCTATTCTCCTCCTAGGACTTTCCAATTTCTTCGGAACAGCCTTCCAAGCTATTCCACTTGCTGATCTACAAATGCAAACATGGCTTGCTCATACAGGGATGTTTCTAAGCAGTATAGGAGGTCCTGTTGCCATGGCATTAGGGCCCCTTATTTCCGCGATATGGTTTCCTCCTGATCAACGCACAACATCAACAGCAATTGCATCATTGTCTTCCTATGCTGGAGCAGGGATGGCATTTATCATTGGCCCACTGTTAGTTCCAGATGTGGNATGGCTTGCTCATACAGGGATGTTTCTAAGCAGTATAGGAGGTCCTGTTGCCATGGCATTAGGGCCCCTTATTTCCGCGATATGGTTTCCTCCTGATCAACGCACAACATCAACAGCAATTGCATCATTGTCTTCCTATGCTGGAGCAGGGATGGCATTTATCATTGGCCCACTGTTAGTTCCAGATGTGGGTAACCATAGCATGAGCATTGGCAAAAGTATTGACTACATAAGTATTCGTAAAAATATGACTCACAGTCAGTTGAATTTTCTTAAGGAGAAAATCATGCTTCTTATGTACACTGAGCTAGGAGTAGCAGTTCTGATTTTATTCTTGATAGTGGTTTTTTTTCCAAAAAAACCTCCACTACCTCCTTGCCTAACCGCAGCGAGTGAGCGTTTGGATTTTAAAGATGGCTTTAAATGCCTCGTGTTCAACAAACAGTTCTTGTTGTTGCTATTTATCAATGGAATAACCCTCGGTATTTACAGTGGCTGGACATCTATACTAGACCTAACTTTGTCACAGTTTGGGCTTGGAGAAAAAACTGCAGGGTGGCTTGGATTTGGTTCATCAGTGTCAGGAATATTGGCAGCAATTATACTGTCCAGGTGAAACACATTAAAATTTTATTTTATCCATTTTGAAATAACTGGAGATCTCCGCAATCTGATTGGCTCTCAGCAGTGTGATTTATTCACGAATCACACCATTTCTTGCTCTTTATTATATCCATTTTGAAATCACTGGTGATCCCTGCAAGCTGATTGGCTCTCAGCAATGTGATTCATTCACCAATCACACCATTTCTTGCTCTTTATTATATCCATTTTGAAATCACTGGTGATCCCTGCAAGCTGATTGGCTCTCAGCAGTGTGATTTATTCACGAATCACACCATTTCTTGCTCTTTATTATATCCATTTTGAAATCACTGGTGATCCCTGCAAGCTGATTGGCTCTAAGCAATGTGATTCATTCACCAATCACACCATTTCTTGCTCTTTATTATATCCATTTTGAAATCACTGGTAATCCTTTCAATCTGATTGGCTCTCAGCAGTGTGATTCATTCACCAATCACACCATTTCTTGCTCTTTATTATATCCATTTTGAAATCACTGGTGATCCCTGCAAGCTGATTGGCTCTCAGCAGTGTGATTTATTCACGAATCACTCCATTTCTTGCTCTTCATTATGTCCATTTTGAAATCACTGGTGATCCCTTCAATCTGATTGGCTCTCAGCAGTGTGATTTATTCACGAATCACACTATTTCTTGCTCTAAATCATATCTGTTCTAAATCGCGTCAGTTCTGTTTTTAATCGCACCAGTTTTGCTCTATATCGCATCATTTCTGTATTGAATACAAAATGAGATGTAAAAGCCTCTTTGTTTCTGCTTCTCAACAAGGCGGCTACTTGATCATTAAAATATTGGTATTGACTGAACTCTGCAATCTCAAAATGGCTGTAATAAAGTGGTAATTGAACTGTGTCGTGCAATTTTGGTCTGAAATCGTACTTGCGAGTTTGAAATCACGCGTGTCATTTTAGACCAAATTGCACTCCACTCTGTTCAATTATGATAATTAACCGTTTTTATTGTATTAAAAGTGCAATAAAACTGACATTTTAAGTCAAGAGTATTGAAAAACGGAGACCTACATGTTTACTTTCACATACGAGATCTTTTTTTTTTGAAATACTTTAATATATTCGACACCAGAAATATATGACACAAAGGATAAACTGAACAGACCCTCCCGATCTGTTCCTCGGCCTTATTATTTCAGTTTTTTTCGGGGTGAGAGAGAACGTGCCGCCCAAAAAAAACCCTCTGGGACCAGGATAACCGTTCCGTCATCAAAATACCTGAAGCTTGAATGCTATTGAGAGCGAAAGATTTCACGTTTACGACAACAGAAAGTTCATTCTGCCCTAAGAGTCAAAGGAACCACTCATTTTTCGTCTCTGTAGGTATTGATTGTGTCAAAAATTCGAATATCTCACGAACAAACACTAAATAATATGGTCGAGTTAAAAATGAACAAAGAACCGTTCAGATTCCTTTTGCCGTTACAATATTTTTATTCCCACAAATTTTGATCACGATAATAGATTTTGATACTCTGGTTTATCCACAGACTCGCGGACCATCTATCCGGACGCATGAAAGCAATCCAGTTTGTCCTTCTGGCTGGCGCTACCATCTCCTATGGTTTATTTACATTCATGTGCGCAGGAATTATTCCGTATAACAAGGCCATTCTCTTTTTAACCTGTATTCTTGCAGGATTTTTCACTAATGGAACCATTCCGTTATTCTTTGAGATGGCTGTGGAAACTGCATACCCTGTCGCCGAGGGCATCACCTCTGGTTTCGTAACCGTTGCCGCGAACCTTCTTCAGTTGGTATTTTACATATTTCCCATGTTGCCAAACTTTGGATTAAAGTGGATTAATTGGTGTATTTTTATAACGTATGCGCTTTCTGTTCCACTGCTTGCGTTGTGGAGAGAACGATACTACAGATCGGAAGTTGATGATCAAGACAAGAACGCACCAGTAAATATTAATTAGACCAAAAAAACCATGTTATGATTAATATCATTGCTTTTGCTTCCAAAAGCTCGTCAGTGATTCATGAAAGAAATACCATACCATCTAAAAACTTGTTATTGGTCAGGCTTAAGACCTTTAGTAAATTAGTAAGATTTATGTTTAAGATTACATGAATTTGAATCGAAAAGGGGAAGGGTCCAATATAAAAATCCATTTTTAATCACTCTAAATTAATATAACTCCCTAGGTTTGAAGATGATGTGAACTTCGGAAATACAAATTTTAAATGATATGATAGTCGCAGTGGTTATTACAACTTAAGAAATTGCAAACACTAAAGACTTGATAACGAAATCACCTTCATGCCCTTAGTGTTGTGTCCCTACATAACGCACAGAGCTTGAGAAACAAACAGAAACGGGTAGAAGCTTTTATTACAAAAAAAAGCTACTTAATACATACTCGACGCTCGTGAACTTAGAACGCTAATAAAAGCTACTCAAACTTGCAAAGAATATTTCTTCAGTCTATAACACCTGACACTGTACAACGCAGCAAACAAAAATAAGTCGAGAATGTACCAGAACATGCAATAGAAATTAACTGTGACAAACGAGACGCTAGTAACTTTCCAAAATGTAGGAGAACTGTGCATTAGCTCTTTTGTGGTGTTTGCCCTCCCAAAATACTTTTCCACACGCCGAGCAACAGAAGAATATTTCCGCATTGTTGACGGCTTCTTCAGGAAGAGGTCCCAGCTTGATAGGCACGCCCCCAGGTAAGGTGAGGTACATCAGATTGATGGGGCAGTTTGTAGGCTCGTAGCCAAGCAAAGGAGCTTGGAAGCGACCATGAAAGATGCCCATAGCCATTTTCATATGTTCCTGACTGACTTCAACAAAATCATTCCCGTTACACACCGATAAGAAAAGTCGAACACAATAAGCAATTAGCTAGTGTGCAGACGTAGTTATTTTCTTTGTTACACGTGGTAAAGAAAACAAGGGAGAAGATATTAAGTAATCGGATAGGCGCCGCTTTGAATATACGACCCTCTCCGTATTTTATATAAGCTCTCCCGGCCCCCACTGATTAAAACGTTTGATACTCTTGTGCAACGGCAACATTATAAAACTTACCAACAAGCATGCGAGCCGTGCAGCTCTTTGCGCAAACATGTATAGCGTTACTTGACTTATTCTAAGCCCGTTAACGTTTTTTCTCGGGTTAAATGTCAACGAAGTAATCAGTCGTCTATCGAACAATTCGGCCGTCACCTCCTATATCAAAACCTGGGTTTTATCTGGTCCGGATTCGTTGTCCTGGCATACACACGCCCGCCTTGCACTTCAATGAGGGCAATTTAGGCAGCAACAAGCACACAGAAACTAAAAGAGGCAGATTTTAAAGGTACTTGCACCCGTCCTGACCAGGAATTATGGCAGTATGTAGGACGTGTGGCATATATGCACCTAGTTATATGCTTCTGACCTGGTACATGGCCAGGCTTGTCACGAGTCTCCCTACCGCTTAGTGGATGCGAGGGTGCCCGCGTGCCTGTTCGGTATCTCAGGGCTAATGGGTCCAATCCCGTTCGAGGCTTACAGTTTTTCTTTGTACCACGCGTGTGACATGTTAAACATTTCATCATTATTTTTTTAACAGTGCGTTTTAATTACGTTTTAAGATAACATTATTACCTGGCAACGACTGAAAATATCCTGTCTTTTTACTTTGACATTGAAGTATTTCATCAGAGATGACATTTGTTGCCTTATCTTCCCGCATGGAACACAGATGCACATTCCCTCAGGTACTTGAGAGCTTAACTGTGAACAAGACATTGGTACTATATAACGATGATATAAAATGGACGTCAAGAAATAACACTAGCAGAACGATTCTGAAACTTGCAAAAGCCTTCTTAATCCAAAGGGCGGTTATACTAGAATTATAACAGAAATATGACCGACACAAGAAGGCAAACACTCCATGTTATTTTTATAAAATACATCGTGGTAACGCCTATAGGATAAGGAGATATATAACGATACTATATAACGATGATATAAAATGGACGTCAAGAAATAACACTAGCAGAACGATTCTGAAACTTGCAAAAGCCTTCTTAATCCAAAGGGCGGTTATACTAGAATTATGACAGAAATATGACCGACACAAGAAGGCAAACACTCCATGTTATTTTTATAAAATACATCGTGGTAACGCCTATAGGATAAGGAGATACCAAATCGTAATTGTTTGAATGATTTATTAATTGATTGATTGACTTGTTGACTGATTGTTTGTTTGATCCATCGAATGATTATATCCATTACTCATGCCATTTTTCTACCACAAGTTTTAAACTACTTTTTTCTCGCACCTTTTCGTAAGGCATACCAGTGGTGAAGATTATTCTGTTTTCGTTCCGGGCAACCTGGTGGGGAAAACGATAAAATAGAGACAAATTAGTCCAGTGCAGATAAGAAACACTATGAATCAAATGAATCCTCAGAGGCAATAAATTTTATTCAAATTCCTTACGTTCGTATACTTCAACATGCGTTTTCAGAAGTGACCGTTCAGTGTTTTTTTTTTAACCTGCATATACGAAGTGGAGTGAACCCTTTAAATGCCAATAGTGACCAACAACAATTTTCTCCTAACAATATCCATACATTGTCAAGAGATAAAGACAAAACCATAGACAAAATGCTATGATCTTTAATCAAATTCTCTCAACTAATTGTTTAAGGAGATGTATGGCGATCAGTTTGGAGAATTTGTATGTGGATATTGGGGCTTAAAGGGTTCATATGACAAAAAATCGCCCTTTGTAAGAAAATCCCAAAAAATTTTGTAAATATTGGATTTGGATTCCAGGGACTGGATTCCTGGTTCTCTGTCAGTGGAACTTGGATTCCGGATTCCAATCGCTAGTGGGAGTCCGCATTCGTTGGGCCGTATTCCGGATTCCAAAGGCCAAGATTCCAGGTTGCACCAGCAAAATATCCGGATCCTGCATTCCAAATGCAAAAATTTCCCGGACTTCGCGATTCAAAATTCCCTTACAAGGGGCGAAAAGACAGTATTACGTGACAGATGAAGAGATAACGCAGTTGAATTCGTAATGTTTGTTACCGCAGTTTGTTTCTATTACTTCTTGAGTTGAGATGGCCAAAAGACAAGTGAAAATCACAGAGGAATTTTACAGGCTTGAGCATTATTTTAGCAACCAATTAAAGAACCTAGGGAGATTCAATTTTGATGACTTGGATTTTCAAAAGCGATGCTCGTTTTGCGGAACACGGTTTTAATGATGTGTGCCATTGTGTAGGCAGCTTGTTGTTAACACCATACAGTATGCTCTCGACATTGCGGATCCTAACAGAATACAAGGTGCGTATCAGACATGAGCCTAATAAATGACTTAGATTGATACAAGTCTCTTATTAATAGCTCAGTAGATAATGCTCCCGCTTGCTGTTTGGGAGGACAAGGGTTCAAATCATATCAAGTAATCATTTTTTTTTTTGGTCCACGCTCTTGATTATCTAACATTTCTCAACAAACTCTCTGATACAATACAAGAGAGAATGGGCCATTTACACGATGGCGTCATTTTTCTACGAAGAACAGAATCCTTTTCGTTTTTCTTATCATCCTTTTCTTTTAAAATTTGGTAGTCCCAGTGAGGTTTAGATAACAAAAGCCTTAATTTGCACAAGAAAGCAATACCCTGAAGGATTCTGGTCGAAATAGTAAAATGACGTCATCGTGCAAATGACCTATTGGTGAACCTCACCTCAAGTAATTTGGCGTGATCGCTGTTGTTATCCATAATAGTCACGTCTACCCCGCAGCATCTTAAATGCTGACCCAGTCCCTGCAGCATTTTATCGACCACGACCCTCAGTTGCTGCGGAGGAATGGGTTTCCTTTTTTGTGCTGGCGGAAGTATATCCTAAAGAGAAAGACAAGTATCTTTTATTTGTCTCTCAGTGTCATAACATGGCTAAAAATTAAACCAGACTGCCGAAACGACAGGTGGCAACAGTGGAGAAGTGAGACTATCTTTTTTGTAGGGAGAATGGTAGATGCCAAATTTTTTTAGCTGACGCTGGATATTTAAACAATGTATGTGTTATGTCATCCTGCTAGTAAGGGCTCCTTCTGTTCTCTTGAGTGAGTAGCAAAAAAGCAGGCTCCGCCAGAATCGCATCAGGCCTTTGAAGTCGCCAAGGCCCAAGCTTCTGGAGTCTGGACAAGTCAATCTTGTTCCCTCTTGTCAAACTGGTTTTCCTAGTGCGAGCACCGTTTACTGATAAAACCGATGGTCATTACTGAGCCCGCTGTACCAAGCGCACGGCTATTAGGCCTGGGTTTGAAACAGTATCCTAGGAACGAGCAGCGCATGCTCAACAATGATCTTACTCAATTTGTGTAGAGTCTTTCTCGTGTACGTCAAAATCGGCAAATGAAAGAAAGGGGTCTGAAGGCAAGGTGCAGTTATGTTTTAAAGGGCGATGGTTTTTTCTCAAACTCGTTATTATTTATTATCATGCGCGAGAACCTATTAAAGCAAACAAACATTGAACGAAGGAAAAAACAAACCACAACATAAATGGGGTTTTTCTGCCATAATAAGGAATATAGGCAAGTTATCAACAGTTACACTTACATTGGTGCGTTGTCCTGGTTTCGGGCGTTTCCGTCTAAAATAAAACAAAGAAGGAAAGTTTATGAAGGTGGATTTCAAGATTGAAGAACAATTTTCTGACTCAAATTAAGTCGCTTAATTAAGTGGAGAACATTCCTGCTTGATGAATGCAAATTTATCCTTTGAACAAACATACGTTTCTAGTTTATCACTGTGGCAAAATAATTTCGTCAGAGCTTTTTTTTTTTAGCAAGGCCTTAATAGAAAATACAAAATATTTTTACATCACAGGTCATTGCCTGCAAATTTGCTTATTTATAGTAATAACAAAGTTCGTTTCCATGCATCCTTTAAATCTTAAACCAAAAGCTTAAAACTTACCACAACACAGTGTGTTTCTCTTGACTACAAATATTTTTCGAAACGAGAACTTAAACGTAGAATTTGACGGCTCGAGGGACGAAAAAAAGACTAATCACAACAACTTAATACCGTTGTTTCTCTTTTTTAGGCTGCAACCAGCTCAGGACGAGAGCAGGTTCCATATTTACTCGCAGCCTCGACTCTAACATCCATTCCTTGAGCACGTCATACACCTCCAGCAGACAATGCGCGTCTAAAGCTAAGGGAAAAGATTGGCACAGATTAACTGAGGTTTTTGTGAATGGCAAACTCTCTGAATCTCAATTGATCGAAACGTAGCGTGAAAATGTTAGGCCTGTGGAAGGAAGAAAAATGGACAAACCAGGGGACAACCCTTCGAGCGAGGCCGAGGAACAACTTCAAACTTTGCTGACATACCAGGAAGGAGAAATGAAGTCGCCCCTTTGTCACTGAGGTGAGAATAGGAATGACAGCGCACGTGTCAAACCGCCATCTTACCGCGCTATTCCTGTTCTCTATAATCTATAGTAAGGGACAGTCTCACGACTTAGCGCATGGGCACATTATGACGTATTCCTTTAAGTTCCCATTAGTAACGAACCACCACATGAGAACAGACAACTCGCTCGTGTTCCACATTTTGGGTCAAAGAACAACAACAATCAAAGCAAAAATCCTTGAACTGAAGATTGTCAGTGGAAACTGACCAAAGGCCTGCTCCTTGCAAAAATTAGTCTGCAGTTACACATGATTTGGTCAATACAAAAAACAATTGAAATAGACAGGGCTAACTTAAATGATTGTTTTCGCATGCGTCTTATCGTGAAACTTTTCATTAGTACGCCTACCTGCATATATTAGTTGATCCTCACTTAACGGTCGGCGTTCCCAGTCTGATAGCTGGTAAGTTTTATCCAGTGGTAACCCAAGGCACAGGAACACCAGCTCGCTCAGACCACGTTCCTCTTCAATGCAAGCACGCTGTCTGGCCGACACACTTCTCATACGGGACCCAAGCTTCTGTCGAACACTCGGTATGCCGAGGATCTGTTACGATAAAATGTTTCGCACATAAAATGACTTGAAGAACAAAACTTTGTGCAAGAGATATATATATAGCGCGAGAACGCATACGTATTCCAGTCGCCGCTTCTGGCTGGAGACTACCGAAAATTCGTCTGCGTTCACGCAGGCTAAGATATGTACGGTCTAAGCGTATTTCTGGCATTGACCATTAGAAAAATCTGGAGACACAACAACATAACTGACTCCGTCCTACCTGTTTGCTTAATGGGCACAGATCAACAAACCGAGCCAATCGCCTCACACTGTCCTCGAACAAAGGACACGACGAAACAAGGTTTCGAAAGTCAGAATCTACTCCATAGCCTGCGGAAAACATCAGGACAAAATTTTTCAGTTTACTGCCAAACCAAGCTGTCTATTTTCTTTCAGAATATAAAACTCACTTCAATAAACTTATTTAACGCCTGGAATGCGCTTACAAATAGGGTGGAAAGAAAACTTCCGCGTGTTTAGGTAGTAGTAATAATGTCATAATTACCCAATTTGAGAACCTGAGGATTAGCAAAGACATTCTCCGCAAACTGCTGGAGATCCGAATCTTTGGCACTGTCTGTCAAGGCGATCACATCCAAGATAAATACTTCATTCCGCGTAGACAGCTGAATGATCGCTAACCTACAAACAAAGTTGCCATGGTTATATGTGTGTCCGCGACTGCTCTTGTACGTATAATAGATATTTCCAAAACTCCTCTTTGTCATTATTCACTGCGTAAGTAAATAATATAAAGTAAATGAAGACAAAAAAATACAAAAAAAGCGTAATGATAAGAATAAGCTCCATAAATGTGGTTAAAACTCTCCTCCAGCGTATTCAGTTAAGTTCGTCTGAATGAGTTTTGATCGTCCAACACGTTCTATCCGTCTGCTTCAAACCAATAGAACGTCTGAAGATCGTCTCTGGGACAAACGTCGATCTTCACAGGTGACGAACTAAAGTAATAACTTAAAAATAATGTATATTTAGCCTCGTTGGAGAGAAACTTTATTGACTGGGCCGCCTGTGCCCAGTTTATAAAATGAGAAGATTTCTCCGTCAAATCACTTTCTCAAACTCATTAATAATTCATAAAGAAAATTCAAAGGAAATTAATGTTTATGAGTGTTTGGATATCGGATGAAAAACTAATCATTTTTGCATCCTTAATTTCTCCTTCAAAAATGATTTTGTTTGAGAAAAAATATCAAACATTCGACACAGTGTTTCATCACCAGATGAAACACCTCGAAGTTCGTCAAAAATTCCCCACTACGCGTCGTATTTTCAACTCTCCTCTCGGTGTTTCATCTGCTGATGAAACACTGCGTCTCATGTTTGATATATTACATCAATGATTAACCCACTAATCCAGAGGGCGTTGCGCGATCCATAAAGCACGCAGAGTCTGTTTAAAGATTGATTTCTTTCTCTGACACGCCTCTTTGGCGAGATTGCAAATAAAGGGCGTGTTGTTACGCGTTCCCTAAACGTTGGGAAGGAACGCGTGGCATTACTTAAAAAAAGAAGGACTGCTTTATGGGAGACTAACGGTAACTACAACTGATTATACACGATATAACACTTGATTCACAAACCTTTCTGCAGTCCCAGCACGGCACATTGTTGGTCTCCACTCAGTGTCAAATCCTATCACACTACCCGGCTACAGAGGAACAAATAGGCAATGTACAGTGGAACCTCTATATAACGAAGTCCTTAGTAAAATGGACGATTTTCTTTCCCCCTCTAATAGCAAAATATGGAAAAGAACCTCGATATAACGAAACCTCGTTAGAGCAAACACATTTTGCCAGTCCCTGGGCCTTCGTTATATCGAGGTTCCACTGTATGAAAAATGGTTTCGCGTAAAGGTAAAAGTTGAGCCAGGTTCACCTGTTCCGTTTGTGCGTTACCTCTCATATATCTCCCTATTTTAATTACGGTGCGTACGTATGTAAAAATCACGCGACAGTAGAAATCCACCCTTTAATTTTCTAGGTCTTTCTAAGTCGCAATAAAGAGAATTTCTTTAAGTTAACCCCCCCTGCAAAAAAATAGCCTTGCTTTAACTTAACAGCCCTCCCCCCGCCCCCCTGCAAAAAAATTAGCCAAAGGACGAATACATGACGATGAATAAAAATATTGTATATCAGCATAGATTGCAGAGATTTTATCACAACTATGGCTCACTGCTAAGAACTGAAGGGAATTCTATGGTTCCTGTCCACCATAACTATAATATTTTCCGCTCTTTGCTAGAAGACGGTAAATCATGCTTAAACATACCGCGCAAAGGGTTCGCATACACTCCCTTAAAGATCGGGAGTTATCCACCACGAATATTCTGTCCAACGGCAAAGGAAGCCGGTAGAATTTAGCAGGAGTTGAGCTCTGTGTAATGGACTCATTGTTAAACGTTCTGGCTTCTGATGTTCCATTCATTTCACCTTCCCAGTCTTCAGTATATTTCTGCGTACTTTGCCTTACCAAATCAACAAAAAAAAACTTCAGATGATAACCAGTATTGTTATTCATTCAAAGTGTTTCTCCGTTTGTTAATGGCTTTAATCTACTGGCTATTTTTTTTCATACCCAACTAACGCTAACTATATTTAGAGGATGCTTAGAGTATATCATTACTGACGTCATTCACTCCGACATCGATGATTGTGTAATACAATATACAGTGGAACCTCGATATAACGAACCTCTTTATAAGGAATTCCTCGGAACGAACGATTTTCTTTACCCCTCTAGTAGTCAACTATATGGAAAAGAAACTCGATATAACGAAACCTCGTTACAACGAACACATTTTGCAGTCCACTGGCCCTTCACAATATAGACATTCCACTGTACTGACTGTATAATCATTGACGTCAGGCAAAACAGCGGCACGGCATCTTAGCTGTTTTGGCGTGAGAGGGGAACTCGAGAAAATGGCGACAGAATTAAAGGCTACGTAAAATTAATGACTAAAAATGATAGCAAGAATATGCAAAATAAGCATTATAAAATTTAAAGCATGAATGCTGGCTGATGTTGACAATATTCTGAATTTTTTTCATAAAAAGCCTGTTATAACTTCTTAATGACTGTGCTCTATTGCGTACTTAGTTTCCCTGCATAAATGTCTTTTAATGCCTCAACATCGTTATACCTGGATGCCATCTTAGCACTAAGATATAGAAAACGTTGCGGGCGATAGTATTTTTAAAAAAACGTTGAGTATAGTGGTCCGGGTGAAGGTAGTTCTGGATAAGATTGTTGTTGATGACAATGACTGACGTTTCGACAACCTGTGCGGTAGTCATTTCAGAGTCAAAAAGTGACTTGTATCACGCCAGTTGATGGTATTAAACTCTGGTTATTGGCCTGATTGGTCAATCAAGTCGCGATGTTATTGGTGGTGTGTCAGTTAAGCCGTGATGTTATAGGCTATGAAGACTCGTATTATCATTGGTGACTCGTAATGTCATTGGTGCGTTTCGATCCGCATATTGTCACAGTTAAACAGTCTTTCATTTTTAGTCAAATTGTCAGTTGTCCAGTCGTTCTCATTTGCTTACCTGTGAAATGGTAAAACTATAAATTAACGCTGCATGAAATTTCGTGCCAAACGTAAGGATTTAAAATTTATCATCCACGGTATTACGAACACACCTGAAATATAAACGTCTCGCGATGTTTGTGTTTGAATGACACTAATACCACAGACTCCATTGTATAAGACAAGGAGATTCTCGTCGGAAATTACAATTACCTGGCCTCCATAGGAGACTAATCTGGGCGTGATTCAGGCTTTGTTCGACCCCTAACGGAGACAATACTCCAACACAGAATGACGACGTGTCTCTTTTTATATTGTTCTATATTCTTTACGAATAGCTGCTAAACGATACCTTAATGGAAAAGAATATTGTCTTTCCGCCCTGGATACCCTAAGTGAGACCAAAATCTGCAATTTCTATCCCTAAGTGAGACGAGAAGCATCCCAGTCATTCTCATATGGGGGCACTCCGGGCACAATAACTGTGATTATATTCTTTTCTCAAAAAGAGTGCGTCAAAAAGAAAAGAATAGATCCTATACGAAAAAAAAATGCAAGTTGTGTCATTCAACGACGTATTTCTAGCAAGAGCTAATGATGCAAGCTTACCAGGAATCGATAACTTGTTTAACCTCAACAGGAACTGATTCCAGAGGCAGGGAGTAATACATAGTCCATCTCGCAGCTTCATGAAAATCTTCAAACTCCACCAAGCTCTCTATCAGCTTGTGCTGTAGCCATTTGTTATCTCCAAGGGCAGTCTGTTAGGAGCAATACATTTATATACAACAGAGCTGAAGCAAACACGACAACCACGACGGCAGCGAGAACGACAAAAAAAGTAACAGGTTTAAAAAAATCAACTCTGCACGAGCATCAAACTTCAGTTTTGGTACATTCCTTTGCCGTTACTGAGAGCCTGTTTATATTACCGGGCTGGCTCGGTTTATTCCTTATTTCCTCATAAATTCGCGTTGTGTTAATATGAGAAGAGGGACTGCCCCCTCTCAACTCAAGCAACCAGGATCTCGACAAGCGGGCCGGCGGCGCGCCCGTCTTATCATATCAACACAACGCAAATTTTATGAAGAAACAAGGCATAACCTGAGCCAGCCCGGTTAAGGATGCCAGCCCGGCTAACCTGCCCGGCTCACCTCGTATAAAACAGGCCATGAGACTGCAAGACTACGACCTGAAATGTCTTAGGCCTCGCCCACACGTACTATCGAGATATTTTTGAACTCGGAGATTTTTTCAGCCGTTTTAGTCTTCCGTCCACGCGTAAACGGCGTTTTTTAAGGACCTAAAACGCAGGTTTTCGAAAACGGTCCCAAGAGTGAACAGTTTTGGAAACGCAGGCTTATCACTTTTCTTTGGAAGGACAAAGACGGATAATACGATGACGTCACATCATACAGCGCATTCTATGTAAGAATGTTATCGTATTTCCATTGTTTTAGCGTTTTCGTGTGGACGGGCGAAAACGACTTGAATACGCTACGTGTGGACGCGTAGTTTTTCGAAAACGGAGAAAAAAATCTCCGTTTTCAAAAATATCCCGACACGTGTGGACGAGGCCAAAGACATTTCAGGTTAGTCATGCAGTCTTAGTGACGACAAAGGAATGAATTTGATTTCCGAGCAATACAAATTTGTTGCTGTGTAACAATCCTTACAGGAATTCTTACCTCAATAAGGTTGTCCCATTTCTGATTCAGTGGCTGTTTCTAAGTTAAAGAAAATGACACGTGATTATATTCCATGAATCTTAAATCAGGCACTCATCGTACTGGCCTTTAATGTAGAATCGCGAATCTACAACGGTTCGAACTGTTAGAGCATTGTTCCAACACTGCAGTTGTTCCATTGTTCCAACACTGTTTTCTCGGACATGACGGAAAATTCTGGTGTCATACATGTTCATTGTACTACTCGCCTTTCACTGTACTGCATTTGAGATTTTAGTGGCCATCCTATAAAGTATTTCATAAAAAAAAGAAGTCTTTCAAAGTTAATAAATGAGCACTTACCTCGGAGTACTTCTTTTGTAACAGGTATCTTAATCCNAATTTGATTTCCGAGCAATACAAATTTGTTGCTGTGTAACAATCCTTACAGGAATTCTTACCTCAATAAGGTTGTCCCATTTCTGATTCAGTGGCTGTTTCTAAGTTAAAGAAAATGACACGTGATTATATTCCATGAATCTTAAATCAGGCACTCATCGTACTGGCCTTTAATGTAGAATCGCGAATCTACAACGGTTCGAACTGTTAGAGCATTGTTCCAACACTGCAGTTGTTCCATTGTTCCAACACTGTTTTCTCGGACATGACGGAAAATTCTGGTGTCATACATGTTCATTGTACTACTCGCCTTTCACTGTACTGCATTTGAGATTTTAGTGGCCATCCTATAAAGTATTTCATAAAAAAAAGAAGTCTTTCAAAGTTAATAAATGAGCACTTACCTCGGAGTACTTCTTTTGTAACAGGTATCTTAATCCATTTAAGTTCTTTTCTTTGTATATATTGGGAAAATTCTCTGAAATATTCCGGAAACAAATTGAAGTCACTATGATTGATGATTGATGTACAATGTAGATTAATGATGTACACATAAGAACACATGTAGTCCTACTGATGGGTGTGAGTACATATAGTGTACCCATAGTTATTGTGTTGATGAATATATCATAGCCTGGTAATGCACTGTGTAGCCACATAAATCAGAACATATTTAAACTTTTAACCCAAATGAAAATTTTAGGATTTCTTACAACAGTGTAGAACTGATTCAATTGCGCGTTACAAGTATTTTAAATTCTACTTATTAGCAACTAGAATATTATTTTCCTTATCTTTTGCACTCACCCGCCTTCAAATTAAACATTTTAACCATCCTCTCACCAAGCTTGACAAGAGTCTTGTTCTTCAGTCTGTGATCCTTTGGTTTTGGAGACAAAGTTTTTCTGGAGGAGATCAATTAATAAAGTGACTCAGTTCTGTGTAAATGTTGGCAGGGTTTTATAATAGAAACATCGAGCAAATTCTCACAAGCCCAGCTGAAGAATACTTCTTTTCAAGTCACTGTCACTAAATTTTTCAACCGTTATTGATTGCTATCATGAGCTAATTAAAATTAATATATAAAAAAATATATGTTTTTTTCCAACTAATTCGAACCTACTGAAGAAGTGCTTGTACAATTGGTAACAACTAGGAATTGACCTACAAATAATGTAACAAAGCACAATTGCAGAAGACATGTCTATCACAGATGTAGTGTATAGTACAACACAAAGTGCAGTAACTGTTTTGAGGTACAAAAAAAAAGTGACTACAGTGAGGCAAATGATACACAAAGGCGAAATATATATACAATGATTAAAAAAAGTCAGAAGCTCTGGGCTTTTTTGCAATAAGGAAAAGCCCAGAAAGCATACATGTAGAAAATTTTCTCTTGGCTTTCCGAGAATTTCCAGGAGTCAAATTCCTGGAAAGCTAGGAGAGCCTGGACACTCCTGGCTTTTCCGGGCTATTCCATGGCTTTGAGGTGTGCGTAAAAAAGCCAGGAATTTTACCCTGGAATTCCGGGCTCCTTTTTGCAGGGGATTACTGGTAATAATGGACTCACTCAACAACTATCTCCAGCTCATCATCTGTCATTCCACATAAATCATCCAGCATCCTCATGAACAGCTGCAAGGACATTGGGCAACCTGCCACATAACTACGCGTACAAATAAAACAATTAGTTGCAACCTGCTAGGTGTCTGAATAGTATGTAGGACTTTCCTGAAATTCCAAATGGAAATACATGTAATTTTTTACTACAGTGAAACCTGGATTTCTGTAGGCAGACACCCAAGCAACCTCTACTGGTGTCCACTTAATATAACTCTATGCTAAATACAGGTTTGTTTTACTTAAATTATGGGACAAAACATTTGAAACTTATTAGGCTATTTGTCTGCTTAATACAGCTAGGGTGCCTTCTTAAAATACTGTGCTGCGTAAGACCTGACTTGACGTACGTTTACAGAGTTTCACAATGACATTGTACAATACTTGCAAACATGCAGTATACATTTCTCTTTTAATTTAATATTTAAGCACAGACCCGGGATTACATATACATGTAGTGGCAAAAATAAGTGTAATTTTTTTTGGAACCGGAGTTTTTTCAATTTCAATTCGCTGTTGTGCAATATACAGAGCTATATTGCTTTAAATTAAAAACTAGATAGTTGATAATTACAGACTACAAAACTGTATTTTTCATTCAATTCTCACCAAGGATAGAAGAATTTGTGACCACTCAAAACGAAATCCTTGGGCCATTATAGCACCTTTCTTTTAACTGATTGCCTACATGTACTTTGTACTTTGAATGATCTTTAAATGTTACCTTTCTGCTAACTGTAATTTATCCACAATTACCAAAGGTAGCAAGATCTAGGAAAATTACACAAGAAACGTCTATAAAAAATTGTCTCTTGTGTCAACTGATCAAATGCTGAGCAATTTATAAAGAAGCCTGCCTGATTTTATAGTGAGAAACTTACAGTAATTACAAGACTGTCGTTGAGAGAAAAAAATAGAAACTTAGAGCAGTTAGACTTTTGATGACCGTATATATTCTGACACATTTCATATGTTTTTGTCATGTTCTACAACATGGTTTTCATGGTTGTCATGGTTGTCATTTCAAAGTTGTCCACAGTCAAAAAACAAACTAAATTTTTGTAACATGCATGCAAGTGGGAAATTTAATACAATATATAATCAAGAGATTTTTTTTTATTGTTATTGATAATCCAGTGGTTGGGTCAGACTGATAACAGTGTAACTTCTGACGATCAATTTTGAAATAGATTGTAAATTCCCAACACTACCTGTAAAGGGCATTTGTCCTCTTACCTGTATATAACAGAGACTACATCTAAGTTCTTCTGAGCTCAGATGAAATAATAGTCAATAATTTTCTATAGATAAAATACAATGTACCTTAATTTTTTAAAAAACATTTCTCAAAAAAGAAACATTGTGAAAAAATGCCCAGAATAAGGAAATTCTCAAAAAATAATAAGAAGAAAGCTTGATTATCCAAAAACAAAAAGGCTAAAACTTAGATTTTTGCCTGGAAAAGTATCCCATTCAGCCTGCAGTATCTAATATGGTTAGAATTGACAATTCAATTAATTTAAACAATAAAGTAATTACCTCAGTTACATCAAAGTGTTTTTGAAGTTTTAACTTGAATGCAATGGTAGCTGCCTGTTGCAAGAAAATAAATATGTTGCAAGACTGTTGAATCCTGCTTCATGAAAACACAAGATGTATATCAAATGAAAGCTTTTAAAGCTACTGGAGCTTTAGTTAAAAATTACTTGTTAACCATTTACATCATGATGTAGTTATCGCCTAAGTTAACTAAGTAATATAATGTGGTTACTACCAGTATACTGGGTGTCTTTATACACTAACTATTATTTTTGTAAAAACATTATTTTTTTCTATTTTTCTTAGAATCTAACGGTGAGCATGTATCAAAATCAGCCATTGCAAAATAAAACTCAATCAGATTTTTGTATTTCACTAAAATTTTGATTTTCTTGTGTTTCTCGAAGAGTTACAAAATGAAAAATCAGGGTTTTGTCATATTCCATTGCTTTGAAAATTTAGAGAACATTATGGAAGAAAAAAGGCAGAAAAGAAGTGCATTAAGCAAGTAGCAATGTTATAAAAATGCTTAAATGAAAAATTTGATTTAAGAAAACAGCTTTTTAAATGATCAACTTCACACTATTCACACAACTTCATACTATTTGATTTCATCCACAGATTTAAAAGTTAGAGACAGAGACATTTAATTTTGCAGCAAAAGGGTTTAAATGTCCTTATTAATTAGTACTGACCTCCCTATATCTCCTTTTTGAATGCATTAGAAATCTCACATGTTTAGCTAAAAATCCATTGTCTCCCACATCAAGTTGAAAAGTCCTTTTTATTGGCTCAAAAAGGAGAAAAGTGGAGGAAACCACTACATCCAGTGCCAAATCCTTATGATTGTCTGTTGGCCAATAACCTAGCAGCTTTATTTCTTCCATACCTCTTCCTTCAGTCTTTGATTTAAGCCAAGCTTCAAACTCAACAAGGGTCAAATAAGCCAGTGACTTTTTGCCACTTTGAATATCAAAGTCAGCAAACTTGACAATAAAGAGCACAAAATCAAAACAGTCCTTGCTGGCTTCAAAAGCTTGCAAAAGTAATGACTTGAGTTCTGTTATCATATCTGAGAAGTAAAGTGACTCAAGTTCATCCAGCCACTCTCTTTCTGACAAAAAATGAAGAGACGACTTTTCATAGCTTCTGGGATGATCTTTGGATGGTTTTCCACCCCAGGCATCTGAGTCCGAGGAACATGTTGACAAAGTTTCTTCACACAAAAAATCATTCTTGCCAGTAGCACCCAAAGATAAATTACTCTTTAACAAACATGCCTGGCTCATACTGTCTGACACAATATCATCACTTAGAGTTCTTGGGTTCTTTAATTCTATTTTGTGGTCATTGTTTACTATACCATTATCCCAATCTTCGTTACAATCCATGTACACCACACCTGAACTTGATGAAGGGTTCACTTGTGCTTTCAAGCAGCTTAACCGAGAGGCTGTTTCATAGCCTAGTTCACCTCCAGACAAATTTGGATCTGAACATTGGCCTGAATTAATTGTAGGAACACCATCATGTACTTTAGTATCCACCGTGATATAACCTCGCTTGATTAGTTCGGCTAATTCAGACAACAAAAATATATTTAATAAGCATCATAAATTAATAGCTATAAATTTAAAAAGGCGCGCTCACAATTGCGTACAGTGGTGCCAACAAATTTCTCTTCACTTGTTGCTTTGCTTTTCGCGTTCGTCATACCTGGATCAATCATGTACAATGTACGCAAATTATCACGCGTAAATTATACAATCAGAGTTCAGCACAACAAACAGGGAACGCTTACTTCCCGCTCAAACGCAAACGTTTTAAAACTAGCACCACACAGTCATTCATGGTTTATGACACTCACTATCGGCAGCATCAGAACGGAAACAACTAGCGTCTTCTCTGGCGATCTCATGTTTGTCTTCATCACTGTATCCAACCAGAAGTGCTTCCACAACTTCTTTAAGAAAACAGTACAGAAACTGAACAGCGGCGATCATTACTGTAAAGCCTCTTCCAAAAACTTGCACTGGAAATTCAAGGTAGTTTCCGACAGGCGTTCTTTGTCTTGTCGATCCAGTCCCAACGCCATCCTGTGGGCGCTCAAAGTTGTCTTACATAAAGAAGTTGTCTTAAAAGGAGGTTTGAGAGTGAAAAAGTCTTCCCCGAAAAACGAAATGAGTTATGTTTTGAACAAGCTTAATACAAAGAAAGATGTGGATAATGCGATCAAGAGTTGTGAAGACAAAGTCCTTGTGCTGAGATTCGGGCGAGACGCTGACACAGTTTGTCAACAGCTGGACGATATTGTAAGAAAATGTGACCCGCTCAGTATCCTTGATGATAATACGGCCATCATTGCCTGTTTATTTTCTTGTGATAACTATTTTTGCGAGCATCATACGCATAGAGGTTAAAAGCAAATTTAACTAGCCTGAATTTCAGACATTCTTTCGAGTTACATACTCCTCTAAAGGACGTCAGACGTCCCTGAGAGGATTGTGCGACTCGAAGGAATGTCTGTAATTCAGGCTACGGATTTTAAATAGTGCATCAGTTAATCCAGCCCATGATCCCCCCCACCAGGGGCTAACCCCCAGGCATTAGCATTTTTTTCTTCTTGAATGTCAATTTCCTGGGGGCTGCGACACATGAGCGGCTAAATGCTCTGCGGTGGGCACAATAAAACGGGGCAAATGCCCTGTTGTCAATCAACACTGCAGCAGTTTTCATTGATCACACAGGCGAGTAGTGCCACTAAATGCATTTGAATGTGCAAAATCAGGAAATGCGTTCAAAACTAAACAAGGGGGATTGCTTAAGTAATGAAAAAATGCATGCATAAAATCAAGAAAACAGGCCTTTAAAAACCAACACAATTTTTTCCCGTCCTTGATAGATGAGCCAATCTGCTTGTGTTTACTGTAAAATCCTCTATGTTTAGTTATATTTGGAGAGGAATCCACATGCGTATCAAAAGCTGGGGGTTGGCCCCTGGGTTGGCAAATGCCCAACTCCCAGGCCATGTAAAAATTACTAATGACCCAACCCTGGACTGACCATGCGAGAATATGCTCCGCAGTAGCGGGGGGTGGGGGGAGGGGATGGGCACAGCTGGAATTGGCTGATAACTACATCAGAAAAGCTTGTAGAATTGAAGGAGTGGTCAAATTTCTGGTCAGCGTCAAGCATTGTTTATCCATGCTATATTAGCTCTATTTCATTCTTAGAGAAAATGTAATTTTGTCTTTTTTTTTTAAATTTTATAATTCCTTACAAAGCCAAGGTTTATAAATTTGTCACACGCGCAGCGTGGAGATTGCATTTTTTTTTCAATTTGGCAACCCAATTAATGCCAATATTCTTTGCAGTATGCATTTAAGAATCAGATAGGACAATAAAACAAAAACGGAAGAAGATGAGAGAAGGAGGAGTCCTCACAACAAGACATTCGTGGCTAGTCACCCAACCAGTTCTTAGCTCGGCTCAGCGCACCCAAACTTGAGTGCCTTATCGAAGAGGGTTTGCGAGACACATTTTTCTAGTATATGATTACAAGTTTGAAGCAAAAGAAAATAAAATTAATCCAAGAATAAAATGAATCCTTGAAATATCCAGACCAAACTGAAACGTTTTTGTACTGTAATGTATGACTAATGTTAATTTATATGTGATAAAATGTGATATTTTAGAGATTTAGCGTGACGTTTGCTTTAAATGCCAAATATCAGATTCAAGCTCAGAATTTCTCAAAATAGAAAACGTGCTTCAAAAAACAGTCCAAAGCGATTGCTATAGGCAAAAGTGACGTAAATGTACTAATTTTTGGGTAGAAGTAATGCACAGTAAGAGACATTTTAAGGGAAAACTTGGTCATGTGTTACAAACATTATTTCACATTTGCCGTGTGCCGTAAACATGACTGTAAATCTCTCTATTTTAATGCCTTATTTTACCTTGACAACCTAGCTGGCCAAGACTTCTCATGATGTTTCTCGCATGGCTGATATATTCATTGTGGATGTAGATGCAGTGCCTGTCTATACACGCTATTTTGATATCTCTCTGATACCATCTACTGTGTTTTTCTTTAATGGACAACACATGAAAGTAGACTATGGGTAAGACTTTGTTATAGTGACTGAAAATTTATTAAAGAGGTTATGTGCCTATCAGCAGCTATCCTGGGTGGTCAGCTGTGGGGACATACGCAGGCATCAGGTGGGATTTGTTGATAGTTGCTGCAACTTTTTAGTAGAGGACATGGGGATTAGATCACTTTCGCACTTTGCTGTACAATCCCCGCGGAAAGACCCAAAGCATTTTGAATACACCTACCAGTCGAGAAGGAAAATATTAATTAATAATATTATTATCATTCTTGGGTGGCAGGATTTCTGAACATCTTTGTGCAAATGCCCGGGGTTCCCCTGCTTGCCCCACCACCTGGTATGGCCGCTGATAAGTGCATTAATCATTGCATTTACTGCAAATAGGAAACAGCAAATACCTCAAGTTCAACAACCTATGAAATGTTTTCAGAGAGCAACCAAAATAACTGATGGGTTTATTATTTTTTTTCATGCAGTAGACGAGTAAAAAAAGGTTGAATTTTTTTAGATTTATTTTAAAAGTCTGTTTTGTATTTTATCTTTACAATTTTCTTAATTTCTTATTCCTTTTTTTTTTTCTCAGCACACCTGACCACACAAAATTTATTGGAAGCTTCAAAACTAAACAAGATTTCATTGATCTTGTGGAAGTGATCCTGCGAGGAGCACTGAGAGGAAAACTGATTGTAACAAGCCCCATCGATCCACAGAACATTCCTAAATACAACCTGATATACAATGACATTTAACCGTTTCACTTTTAAGGGTTAATGTTTTACTATTACTGTAGCAATTTTCTGTATGCTCATCAGCTCCTCTAGGCTATTGTCTTAAGAGAGAAAGCAATGAAAATAGCTGTCTTCTCTCTGATCATTAATAGTGTTTATAATGAAAAGTTGGGACCAATTTATTGAAATAGAGATTATGAAGCTATAGATGCGAATTTTGTATGTACAAAAGGAAAGCGTGAAAAGAATCCAGGTTATTAACGATGACAAATAACAAATCACTGTATTATATAATATTCCCATCTCACGCTTCACGGTAAAGAGCATGGAAGTGAAAAAAGAAGTTTTTGAAAACCTGTGAATTTTTGTTTAATTTCATGCCAAGCATTAATTTCAGTATTCTTGGTGTTTTGCAAGGCAAAGATAGTACCTTTCTCTCTCAGTTGACTTAAAACCTTTTGTGATAAAAGTAATCGCTAACCTGTGACAGTTCTGCGTTACTTAGACTTTAGAGGTCCCCACCTTATCATGTTTTCCGTCCGTGAAATAAGCTGCTCCTCGATTTTCCATTAGGAAACCCTGCCATTTAAGGAATTCCCTAAGTCTCTTCGCTCTCACGTTTTTATGCATCAGAACAGTCGTCGAGAAATCCGTTTTTTTTTTGAAAGAATTTCTTCGAACAGTCCATCTAGATCTCTACTCGGGTCCTTTACTAGAGCTAACTAAAAGTGTGGAGGTGACATCGCATTACACTAAATTCCGTCAGTGTGGCATAAAATACTTTAGAAGGGGAAATGATGTAGATGAATTGTTCTCGTTAGTTAATGAACTTATGTTTTTGTTGTTGTTGTCCTGTTCTTTTTTGTACCTTGGAAAATCCTAGAATGGAATTTCATTCCCTCTGATACAGACCTACTTTCTTGATGGGTTTAAAACCGCTTAATTTATTTTTGCCGTCCATGAATAAGACAGAAAGTTTAATTTCTGAGTCCCAGTGTTCCCTTATCATACCCACCCTGGGCTGGGAACAAAGCTTTAAGCCACACCTATTCTAGCCAGAGTGGCAGGCGTTCGAAAGGGAAGGGGAAGTTAATTACGGCGCGAGACCGCGGGCTCTTTCTCCTTCGCGCGCCCAAATTCCCCCTTCCCCTTCCCCTTTTAACGCCTGCCACGCAGGCTACACCTATTCTAGTCAGTTGTTTTGTAGTTTGTATTTTGCAATTTTACAGAAACAGAAAATCAAAACTTGGTATTTAAAAAAGAGAATAAAGATACATTTATTATCGTGGTTGTTCTGTCGTGTTATGTTCAGCTTTGGGGTGAATCTCTCAACCCTATTGCTCAAATTGTCTCTGTGCGACAAAGTACTGTCCTAAACGGACGTTTCGCTACAAGTCATTTTTTGAATCCGAAATTTTAGGTTTCCCTTTTTTTCTTTTACGAAAAATAGCTTAACTTGGGAAGTTAAATGTGAAAATTAAACTTCAGAAAGTGAATAGAACGGTCATCAAGAAAATGTTAGCCGTCCACAAGTAACAGAAAATTCCAGGCAATATTTGCGTCTCCGAACAGATATTTTACAGAAAATAGTCTTTCGGTGCCCCTGAATGAATAAATTTTGTATGCGTCATTTCAAGGCTCCAAGATACTACTTTGGCGCAGTAGACAGCTGAGTACCCTGCAAGCCGGCCAGGAGAAACCACTGCTCCGAGGGTAACAGCTGAGCAGAGCAGTAAAAAAGATTCAAAAAGTCAGTACAAAGTGATGCGAACAACGCATGGGATCCTGTTTTCGCCTTTTTCAACATGCGTGCGATCTGCGTTTTCGCGTCCGCCGGCCTGTGACACACGCATATCGCGTACATTTGTGTGTTGGCAGGAGGCAGGTGCAAGGTGGGCGGCCACGCCCCGACTGCCAAATTTCAATAAAGAAAAACTATGAGAGGTAACCTGTGTGGCAGGCGCAAAAAGGGGAGAGAGGGGGAGAAAAGCGCAAAAGAGAAAAGGGAATCCAATCGCCCTTCTTCTCTTCTCCTAAATGAGAGCAAAAAACGAAAAGGATTCCGGTCCAGTTTTGGCTTTTAAACCGAGAAACCAACCTACCTTTGACCAGCGGTGACATACAAATGAGAGTATGTACGTCATATACGATCATGATTGCCATCTCACAGCAAACGAAAGGAAAAGAAAGATGGCTGAGTTTTATCGCTGTGCAGTTGGTCCGCAGTTATACCGAATTTTCTCGAGAAACAGTCGTCAGGTTAGCTTTGGGTGAATGCATTTTATGACACTCTTACCCATTTCATAATCCCTTGAGATCTTTTCGTAATAGTGGATGTATTTATACTTTACCTCTCCAACTTTGAGCATTTTTGGGGGGTTGAGTGAGCTTATTTTGTATGTATTGTGCTCTTTTCTCATCTTCTTCTTGTTATTTAACACAAAACATGTTCTGTAATATAGAGTCGACCTTATGAGGCCAACGGATTGGAGCATTGTGGATCAGGAGTAATTCGTGCTGTAAGTGTAAAAATGTCTGGTAGTTCCTGTTTCTATTTAGGCCTTTATAATAAAAGTCGTAAGATAACCTCGTAAAGCTTCTTTTTCAATTTATCACTTTTTAGGTTTTCTTATTCGTGTTCTTGGTTTTCCATCTGGGTGCAGAAACCTTGTATTAGTACACCCTACGTTTGTGATAGTACTACGAGAGCCTATGTTTTGGTTCCGTCATGTCTCTTGCATAATTAATCATTTCGCTTATTAACTTACACAACCTGAGTTTTAATTCCGAAAACCTTGATTATAGTCTCGTGACCCCTCATTTATTTAATCAACTATGCATCTCCATTTATACCCTTATACGCTCTTCTCACGTATGGTAATATGCCCGTCTAACCTCCTTTTTGAGTAAAACGTCCTTTGAAATGCTGATCAGACGACGTTTTCGTATTTGAATTTCAAAAGAATTTTTACCCCTAAACGAGGTTAGACGGGCATATTACCATAAGTGAGAAGAGCATATTGTAGCTGCATGTAACTCTATATTCATTTGGGTAGGAAGGCCCTTTTGAAAAGCGAAAAAACTCCATTCATTAGTCTGGCTTTCAGGACTTTTAGGTTACTGTTGCTTTATAGAGAGAAAAACTTACAGAATGCACGAGCAAAATGACGNGAATTTTCTCGAGAAACAGTCGTCAGGTTAGCTTTGGGTGAATGCATTTTATGACACTCTTACCCATTTCATAATCCCTTGAGATCTTTTCGTAATAGTGGATGTATTTATACTTTACCTCTCCAACTTTGAGCATTTTTGGGGGGTTGAGTGAGCTTATTTTGTATGTATTGTGCTCTTTTCTCATCTTCTTCTTGTTATTTAACACAAAACATGTTCTGTAATATAGAGTCGACCTTATGAGGCCAACGGATTGGAGCATTGTGGATCAGGAGTAATTCGTGCTGTAAGTGTAAAAATGTCTGGTAGTTCCTGTTTCTATTTAGGCCTTTATAATAAAAGTCGTAAGATAACCTCGTAAAGCTTCTTTTTCAATTTATCACTTTTTAGGTTTTCTTATTCGTGTTCTTGGTTTTCCATCTGGGTGCAGAAACCTTGTATTAGTACACCCTACGTTTGTGATAGTACTACGAGAGCCTATGTTTTGGTTCCGTCATGTCTCTTGCATAATTAATCATTTCGCTTATTAACTTACACAACCTGAGTTTTAATTCCGAAAACCTTGATTATAGTCTCGTGACCCCTCATTTATTTAATCAACTATGCATCTCCATTTATACCCTTATACGCTCTTCTCACGTATGGTAATATGCCCGTCTAACCTCCTTTTTGAGTAAAACGTCCTTTGAAATGCTGATCAGACGACGTTTTCGTATTTGAATTTCAAAAGAATTTTTACCCCTAAACGAGGTTAGACGGGCATATTACCATAAGTGAGAAGAGCATATTGTAGCTGCATGTAACTCTATATTCATTTGGGTAGGAAGGCCCTTTTGAAAAGCGAAAAAACTCCATTCATTAGTCTGGCTTTCAGGACTTTTAGGTTACTGTTGCTTTATAGAGAGAAAAACTTACAGAATGCACGAGCAAAATGACGAGTTTATGCAACAGTGTGACGAATGTATATGTTGTAGTTAATTTTTTATCTCAGGTAATATTTCTTTTTCTTTTGTTTCAACTTCATAAGCATACATCACCATACCCAAAAACAAAAGAAAAACAAAAATTACCAATTACCTGAGATAAAAAATTAACTACAACATATATGCCAAATGTAGAATGCAGAATGAGAAAAGAAGTTGAATCTATTTAAGTTATTTTCTGTATTATTCTTGCTTGAATCTATGGTAAAATTAATGCCTAAAATCCAGAAAATTACAAAGAAATGTCGTGACTGTCAAATTCACAATCTGTGGCTAGAAGATACTTTCAGAAATGACCAGTATTTGCGCTTTATTCATTCTTTGTTGTCAAACATATGACATTATTGTTATCATTGTTTTAAACTCATCATTTTGCTTGCACTCTTATACTTGTTTTCCTCTCAAGAGCGATGGTCCCCTTAAAGTAACAAAAGTCCATTAGTCTAGTGAAAAGAGTTATTTCCTACCCTGCAAACAATAAATAGGTAATAGAAAAATATGGACTCAAAGCAAAGATGTCTGGAAAAGCTGGGATGTGGGCCTGCACATTATGATACACAACATTTATTAACACTGTGGATCCCTATTAAAATAAAATTCCCACAAGCCACATGGCATTGAAACAGCAACATAAACAGTAGAAGAGGCAACAAACAACACAAAGATGGGTTGAAACTGAGATAGTGACAATGAGAAACATAAAATAATACATAAATACATGTACAATAGTAAAATACTGACGGGGGCATGGCTTCCTCGACAATACATAAGAAAAAGATGACATACATACACCCCACTCCCCCTGCCCCTATGGGGACGTTATGGATGGTCATGGTAGATTACTTAAGAGATGAAGTCCCATGATCCTGAGTCCTTTATTTTATTATTAGTTGATTTTTTTTTATATTTTATAAAAATTTCAGTAGAGTGCAAGTGATAAATGTTATTAATTTTATTTGCAGCTGTCATTAGCATGGTCTGTTTGTTATTCAACTTCAATGTTAACTGCGCCTGCACTTGGATTCTTCCTTCTGCGAAAAGGTTTGTTAAATTATCATTCACTTGAGTCAACAATGGTCATCAGATATAAGAAGGCTAG